TCTTTTTGGGCTTTCGCTCCCCACGATCCAGACGGCTCAACGTCTTTTTGGGATTTCGCTCCCCACAATCCAGACGGCTCAACGTCTTTTTGGGCCTTCGCTCCCCACGATCCAGACGGCTCAACGTCTTTTTGGGCCTTCGCTCCCCACGATCCAGACGGCNACGTCTTTTTGGGCCTTCGCTCCCCACGATCCAGACGGCTCAACGTCTTTTTGGGCCTTCGCTCCCCACGATCCAGACGGCTCAACGTCTTTTTGAGCTTTCGCTCCCCATGATCCAGATGGCTCAACGTCTTTTTGAGCTTTCGCTCCCCATGATCCAGACGGCTCAACGTCTTTTTGAGTTTTCGCTCCCCACGATCCAGATGCATCAGCTTGGACGTCTTTTTTACCCCAACCACCCCAAGCTCCTCCTACTGGCTGATCCTTGTCAGATTTTGCTTCCCCCCAACCACCTTCGGTTGCTGCTGTGGTCTTGACAACTCCCTCCCAGCCACCACTGGCCGCCCCAACTTCCGGACCCTTTTCCCAACTCGATTTGCTAGTTTGATTGTCATCCATTTCATCAAGATCCAAATCCAAACCATCCTCAAAAACTGGTTTAGTAGAACCAGAATTATGTTCAGGAGAACCCATTTCCATGAAATTATCCTCCATTTCAAAGCTGTCAACTTCACCAGCAAGGCCCGCACTATCAGCTTCTTCTTCAGAGCCACCCCTTACCAAATGAAGGAAGTTGTAGACATCAATACCGTCTTTCTGGTTCATTTCAACCTAGGAAATGTATATCGCAAGATACCATCAAAACTTATATGATTTGGCCAAAAAATCTAAAACTAGAAAAACCGCATAAAGCATTGAAATACAAACCTCTCTTGTGTCCCAAAGAATATCAAACCGAGATCCTGTACCCACAGCTACAGGTTTGCCCCAAGAACAAGCAGCCACAATGCTCGATAATGAATCAGAATGGCACTTCTCAGCTGCCTTCTCGAAACATCTTTTTGGTGTCTGGTAATTCCGAGAGTAACAAAATCAAGAAAGTCAAGTATAAAGTCAACATAAATAATAGTTACAAAATTTATAAAGTCAATGCCTTACGTATAATGTTGCTTCAGAAAAGGGTACTTGGAAATTAAGCGTCTTAGAGAGCGCCTTTATTCCCGCTTGGTTGAAGCCAACCAAATTTCCTGCACAAGTCATGCTATTGGCCAACAGAAGCAGGTGCTCTTTCAGCATGCCTTTGGAAACCATTGACACAGAGGTCGAGAGGCGCTACAACAATAAGCAACAATCGGCGGATTTTCAGGAAATGAAAGAGACTACAAAAACGATTAATTAGTATTGCAGAATCAAGGTAACAGGTCGCACACTATGTTTTATTGAAAATCACTAAAACCATAAGACATGAAATTGTGAAAAGTCCGAAATTTTGTAGAAAAACCAAACAAAAGCAAACGAACACATCGAAGCCCACACAGAAGCAAGAGTCTGGGGATAGGCTGTAAGCAGACCCCAAAGGGTAGAGAGTGAAAAATTTTAGAACTTTTCGCTTATTTTAAAAACCCCCTCAAAGTTGAAATTCAATTGAAATAAGCACACACACACACACACACACACATATATATATATATATATATATAGAGAGAGAGAGAGAGAGAGAAAGACCTGAACAGCTTGCTCAAAAGCACAAGATATGCCAAGAAGACCCTCAACTTGTTTGATTGCATAAGGAATGGAGCGCCTTGTGTCAATCAAATGGATTATTGGAAGGCAAGAGTCCATGACTGTCCTCCATGCATCACCGCTTTTCTTAACCGCTTCTTTCTCAAGAACAACATCAATTGCCAACTCACCCTTTGTATCCTTACTTGGATTTCTGATCCAAGCTGTCGTTTCAGGACTGATCCAAGTAATATTTGCTTCTCTAACCCGCGGATCACCTATTAATTCACAGCATCACAAATTCAGTACAATCCATCACAAGTGATAGGCTTAGACATGAATTTTAGTGACTTTCCAGTAAAAGCAAAATACATCAATTTGATAAATAAATTGTAGGAGATTATAGTTACAGCACTGAAACAAGAAACTCTGGAAGAAAGAAATATTGGAAACTTACAACATGGAACCTTTTTGAGAAAATGATTATGATAAAATGAAGTAAAAACGTTAAATATGAACTATTCAAGGAGGACAAAATAAACAAGAACCATTAAATACCTTTTATAATAGTATTTAATAGAACAGGGCAAATTCTGTCGGCAAATATATGTGCAGTTTTCTCTAGATGGATATCAGAAGTGTCTTGCCAAAAAAACTTCAAGCACGGTGTCCACTTGCTTTCAGATGACTGCTGGAAAGTACATTCGCTGCAAAACAGTAAGTTAAAGTTACATCTAGTTTAATGAACTGATTAACTCTCAAGGGTATATCATGGAAGCCTAAAGCATAGATCCTAGTACCATTTCGAACTTAGAAATACAAAATGAAAAATAGTAAATTATATCCAAAACCATTTGGAACTTAGAAATACATGTATATTTGTGTCTAAGAAAATAAAAAGTAGTAGATAAGGCATCGCTTCAGAAGAAAGATAAATCCAGTTCAAAAGAAAAAATAAGGTCAAAAAAAGTAGAAATACATGTATCACAAACCTGCAAGACAAAGCTATTTTTTTGAAAAATTGACCGATTTTTTTCTTCTTCCGGAAAGAGTTCAGGGTGTCTTCACATTTTGTAAGAACCTCTTCCATGCTGATATTTGATTCTTTCAACTGCGTCTGCTCATACATTGAAGCGAAAATAAAAAGAATTAATGCAAACAAAAAATGCTCAGATATAATGTGTGAAACCAAAGAAATTAAACTCGTTGAAGTAATATGCTTGCTACATTGATTCATATATAAAAAAAGAACCTTATTGAGGTGAACATGACCAACAAGTCCGGCGTCGATTTCAGCATTCTCATATGTTGTTTGCTGTCTTTTATATCTGTAAAAAGAAATCAGCAAGAACATGAGAGTAATAAAACCACAATCAATTTCCCAACATGCTCAAAATGACATAAGAGCACTAATTTCCATTATCTGAAGGAGGAGGGAGAGAGAGTTCAAAAACTAATTTGTAAGAACTCGTCCTCGAATGAACCATGTGAAGTTCATAAAGAATTAAGTACAGGATGTTTGATGAATATAATAAGCAAAAACTAATATATAAAGGTGAAATAAGAAAGACGTACTCTATGAGAAATTCCAAGGCAACGTCCTTGAGGCTGACTTTTCGCAAATGATTTTTGACCAGATATGCAGCATTCTCAAGGCAATACTTCCCCCCACAATCACAATCATTTAAATAGAGGATAACCCGACGATCATTAAGAACGTTCTTAAAATTCACTCCACAAAGCAGAATCTCCTAAATAATGGAAACCAAAGAAGGAATTATAAGAAAGAATCAAGAAACAGAGCATGCAAGTGAGTAAAAAAACCTAAATCAATTAGAAGTAGCGACTTACTTTCATCATGTTCCATGAAGAATTACTGTTTGGAGACGAATCAAGAACTGCCTTGTATGCAGGGTTTGACATGGCAGTTGCAGCCAATACTCCCACAGGCTCACCAGCAGCAAACAAATTTTGTGTCTTCACCCCATATTCGAACTGAATAATCGAATTACTGCAGACATTTCTAACAGTTCCATCATAGCAAATCACCACATCACGGAGGATGGCCATTAAGTTCTTGAACAGTGTTCCAGGCTCTGTCAATCCTCTAGATGATCGAACCATCACTTCTCTACTAGCTATTGAATGAACCATCTCTTGGTAAGGATCCAGCCCATGGAAAAGACAGCTTCTGACCAACCCAAATTCCTCGGATGGGTATTTGTCAGGAAAAGGATAATTACCAAGAAAATGGGAAGACAAATCTTCAGCCAACGTTCTAGAATAAAGCCTTCCCTTCTCCAAGATCTGTAGGCCCAAAAATCCAATTTGTTGCACAATCCTAGTAACAGCTGAATCACTCTTGGAGTCTATCAAATTTCCCATTGATGAAAATCTCAAGATAAATTCCGAAATGGGCCCTTTTACAACACGCAGATGTTTCTCTAGTTGTAATGCTATCACCTCGTTATAGTTTGACCTCAAGTGATATAACAACGAAGAAACCTCCTGGATTTCAGCTTCAATACTTCTTAAAACATTCTTGGGAACAATGAAGTCTTCCAAACTTAGATTAAATCCTTCACAACAGAGATTTTCCATCAACATGGGTTGTAAAGAATTGAAAAGTTTCAATACCTCTTTCGGACCTTTACTAAAAAAAATTGAGCTAATAACATCATTAACAATGGACTGTATCACATCCCGACTATAGTCTAGCTTCAGGATTTTGCTATCACGAATCAAGAATTTATCCCCAGAACAATCAAATCCACGGGGTAGAGAAGTCTCTAGCAACTCCAAAACAGTCCACAATGGGCCACTGCGATGAACCTTTAACATTGATGGTGTAGGCAACGAATTTGATGTAAACAATGCTAACTGTTGGACTTGAGCTTTGGTAAAGAAATAAGTCTTGAACAAGGTTTTAAGCGATAACAAAGAGTCTGTGCCAAGCTGCAGATTGACGTTTCCACTATGAGAGCTTAGCAGTTGTTTCTCTACTGCAAATAACTCTAAAACCTCTGCTTTAGCTTCAGGAGACTGGGGGTAGAAGATATGAATACAATCGCCATCAAAATCAGCACTAAGTGGCCCACAAATAAGGGGATTGATCTTAAAAGTATGATCATCATGGATATACACTGATAGCGCCTGAAGTGAGTGTTTGTGGGTAGTTGGTGGCCTATTGATAAAAATTACATCTCCCTCCATTATCTTCCTGTGGACAATTTGGCCCGGTTTCAAAAACGTATGACCTTTGGAGCCTTCTCTCAATGAATAAGTTGATTGGCCATCCCTATATGTTAAGCATAACTTGTCATCTACTAGCTTTTGGAGGAACTTCATGTTATACTCAGTGACCCTCTCTTCAAATGTTATCCTCTGAGCTATCTCAAAAGGTATTCCAATCTCACCAACACCTTTATAGGGATCTCCGGTTATGACACTACGGGAAGAAAATCCAGACCCTTTACTAATGAAGAGTGTTTTCATCTTTTCAAGCCATGCTTTCGTAGAAGAAGAATCATTTAGCTCTTTAGCAATCCCATATCGGGTATTTCTGTTAGGGGAGGCCTAGAAGAATTAAAAGTAGCATGTGAAGATAACAAAAGAAGACATTAATAATACAAACATAGTTATATCGAAATAGAAAAATCAACTATTAGTGATTGATGGGTAGACCTATCACGGCTGACGGCACTTAATTGAATCAACAAAAGACAATGTTATTGCATCAAGAGTGCAATATATGCGGCACATGGATAAAATGTTTATAACACCATAAACAAGAAATAGCACATCAAGTCATCAATTGGGGAAATTTTCTTGGAGGCTAAAAGTCATAATAAAGCCAAATTGTTATGAACCAACGGGAAAGCAGTTGTCCTTCAACATGAAAAAGTATAAGTATAAAATCTGAAAGAGGAGCACCTTAGCACCCCTGGATTGAAGATATTGAGCCACAGCTGCTTGCAAATCATTTACTTCAACCTCAAGAGACTCGAAATTTGGCACCCCTGACCTTGAACTCTTGATGATTTCCACTTGCCTCAAAACCTTTTTAAGCATAGTCATTGAGATATCCTGGAAAGCATTATAATAATAATGTTGCATGGTAAGCCACCAGTTGAAAAATGGGTTGTATACACCAATAACCATTATAATATAGGCCTTTTGCATGAAGAATGAAGTTCTTTTCTGAAAATATAATCACTAATTCTTCTAAAATGTATGTGAACTTCCATTTATACATGTTTTGCATCATACTTGATCATGCATCCAAATATGGCCGTATTTTCAAGGGCAAAAATCATCAAACGAACCCCTGGAAGGGATCAACGATATTGGATGCCAAATCCTAGGGTTGCGGGTACTAATCGAGTTTTTGATGTTATGACCAAGAACTTGCGGTGTTCATACCCATTATATGTCCAAGTTAGTTGTGTGTAATTTATATGACTCCACAACTTGGGCGTGGAATTATGGGAATAAGAAATGCAAACAGGAAGTTTACATATGAGTGAGTGAAGCAAGTAACGATCAGCAAGATTTGTCTGGGATTTTATTGCAATTATGTAATAATTATAGAAGAGTTGGTATAATGTGAGATTCTGTTCATAAACAACAGAATATTACAAGGACTCTTGGTATCCTCCTTGATTTGTACCAAATTTGGAAACCCAGCTAGTTTTTTTCATATAGGTGACTCCAAAATAATAAAATTCGACAAGTTGTACCTAGTTCTCTTCACCCCCTATCTCCACCTCCAAATAAATGAAAATTCATTGGAAGTGTTTCACCAATCCATTGAGTTAGACTTGTCATTGGACTCGTTGGAAGTATCAATAATTGTCATGCATTTAAGTTCACCATCAGGAGTGTCATGGGCTCATGGCCTTAATTTATCGGTCATCCCAAAGCCATGTTCTGTGTGATCTCCTATTCCATTTTTCTCTTTTCGATTTTTATAATCTCTTTGGCTTAGATCTTATAATTAAAATAGTTCAAGATTTGTTTTCAAATATGTTTGTGTGTTTATTTCTTCTTTTTTGCTTTGATTATATTGTAAATTTTATCTATTTCAATTTGTTCTTTCAAACAGGAATCAGGAAGTTAAACAAGAGTATTTCAAAATGAGTCAGACAATGAGATTTGGAAGGAGGTTGAGAAATTCCTTTCTAGATGCACTTAAGTGAATGATATTTAACTTTTTGAACAATTTTCTAAATTAGGAACCAGTAGTACATGCAAATTGCAATATAGGATGATAAACCCTTTTACTGAAGTTAACATGAAAATTAGATGTGAATTTCTGTTACTGTGTTTTTCACTTTTTCCCTTTAACTTTTCTTCCAAATTAGGCCTGCATCTAGCAGGTTTGCCAACCACCAGAAAATTCCTAGCAGCGGCAGCAGAAGAGAGATAGACGACAATTTTGCCCCTCAAGAACGGTCATGTGATGGGAACATGATCCAATCTGGGAAAAAGTTCAATTGGTAGTTTGGCTGCACTTATGAAGGTTGAGTGATCATACTTACATAAAGAGAAATATCAAAATAATGATCATTTGCATAAAGCTAATAATATAATGGTCATTGGTGCATAACAACTCTTGATTAAGTTGAGGAATCTAGAGTGGAAAAGGCAACAAACCGAAGACATAACACTCATGCCATCAGATACGTCTGGTGTCGACAAACAATTTGGAGGGACAGGAAGATATTGCATGATATACCCTTCCTGGAAGAAACACCCTTTCCCAGCTAGCTTTCTTTTGGTTGCCTCAGGAATTTTCTTTAGAATTGCCAACACCTGACATCGTCGCAGGAAAAAATATAAAGTGAAGAAGAAGAAGAAATTAATGAAAGGTGTGTAAACAGACTACATATCAGCTGTAAGATACAGGGGGTGTTTGGATGTGTTTAAAGTGATTATTGCAATTCAGCTTCGATGTTTGACAAAAACTGAATGACTTTAACTTCCAAATTATTAGGTCAAAATAATCAAATTTGGAGATGCACATAAGAAAACTGATTATTTGGTCAAAATAACAAAGAGCAAAACGCATCAACATGCAACAAAGTTTGGTTTACTTTAGTTCCCACTAGGTGTAACAAATAAATTTTCTTCTCAATCAATGTAACAAAGTTGTAAAATTTCCTATTTAATATAACAAATGTTCAAATTTTTCTATATTGTAACGATTTAGTTTGATTTATTTTCTATTTAGTGTAATAAAATTTCAGCAGGTTACCGGTCAAAATGGGTAAAAAATGAGAAAATTTGAAAGTTTGTTACATTAAGAAATTTTGAAACTTTTCACAGACCCAAGCTAGAATTTGAAGATTAAACTTTCCTCTTTTAGGTCGACTAGCTTTAAGTATTACCTCAGATGAAAGTAATGGCCGAGAAACGCCATCACCGTAGTGATAACCAAATCTATCAAGAAAATCCCAGAAACCTTCTCTAGGTCTTGTTCTCGATGGAAGTTTGAGCTCCAAGTAGCATGCGCCTTCTGTGGATTTAGCTTCATTGACGGTAACTTGTGCAGCATCCTATATAACAATGTGTGAAAAATAAGTTAACGAATACAACCACATTAAGCAACATCCTACTTCTGGTTTTAAAAGATGCAACATCCTACTTATGGTTTTCAAAAGATGCAACATCAACTTTACTTCTGGTTTTAGCCTGAAATCTTGCCAAAGTACTGCAATAGTCTAGACATCCCAAAATGGAAATCAGTAGAACTTTCATGGACAGGAAGAATACACCATTTTTTGTATTTGGCAACATGATATGCTTTTCCATTCTGATACACAGCCCATTGGAAACACTTGTACAATAGCATCATTCAAGATTGCAAGCACATCTTCCGTTGAAGGGTCAAAATTCACATCGGGCAACCCATATGAGCATGGAAGGAGCCTTAACAGCCATACCCCACAAAACTCGAGCATTCTTCGTTTTGAAGCATCATTTTCTAGGATAATCAATCAAAAAACTGAAGTGTAGATTACAGCTTACTTTAAGATGAATAAGGAAATCCATGATGGAAATCACTAGTAATGCTAAGCTTCTTATCCCTGGATTATAGGTTATATCTTTATTTATATCCTCGTACTAGATGGTAAGAAAGTCAAATAAAACATGAGAAGCTTAGAATCCTCTCAGCTTCAAACTTCAAAGTAATAAATACTACGTTCACTTCTAGTAGCTATATGCACATGTTATCACACCTAAAACCTCCAAGAGAATCAATACAGATACCAAGTTAATGTCCCTTGATAGCGGTTTTTGCACGCTCTTGCTTAAACAAAAACAAAATAAGGCCATTAAGCTCCAACCTATTTATAAAACACCAAAGAAAACGAGCCCAGGATATCCCACCCAAAGGTGGGGTCTGAGGGTAAGATGTACGCTATCCTAACCTCTACCACGGAGAGTAGAGCATTTGTTCCGGTGATGACCCTTGGCTTGTATCCAACCTATTAATAACACCTTTGTGTTTCTTACCGAACTTCATTCATGTTTTTCCATTGTGCCTTAAATTGTAAATCTAGAAGATCATTTCTCAAAGGTCCAAACAAGTACTAAAGAAAAAATAAATTAAGGGGGTGTTTGGTTCAGGCAGAGGAATGAAGATGGGAATGAAAATGAAAATGGCAGAGAATGGGAATGAATTTCAATTCCTCCCAGTTTAACCTAGAATGAAAATTTGGCTTCTAGGGGAATGAGCCCATCATATTATATAAAACCAAACAGTTTTTTTTTTCATTCCCATTGATTACTGCTTAATACCTCTAACCAAACACCCCCTAATATTATGGTGAGTCCTTCCCATGTGATAGAACAGAAAAATAATTGCCTCCTATTTAATATGTATGTAGGACAAAAATTTAGGTCTAATTAACTTAACTTTAATTGCATGACGCCTGTCAATCTTTGGCTAACAAAAAGCTTTTAAACTCTTTATCAAATTTGAAAGTTTGACATAGGATGCTTACGTCACAACAAGAGGCAAAAGCTCTTTCAAGTACACCAGCGTTCTTGGTCTGCATCTGAAAATACAAAGAAGCATAAGAAATAGGTTACATGATTGTTCTGTCATTGAGGCATGTTTCAGTATACATAATTCAGCTACTAATATTTCTTAAATAGGCTTATAAAATAGCACATATACTTGAAAAACAAGTTATTATTCACATACTTTACTATTATCACGGCAAATAACCCTCTTAAAAATGTTTTGTTTGTTCACTCGAGCAATGCCAGGTATTTTCTCAAGAAATTCATAAAAGCAAGCAAGAAGGAGATAATATGAGCTGAACCTGATCAATAACAAAATACTTGCAGACTTTCTGGCTATAAATACATTCATAGTAAGGCTAACATGCAAGTTAAGTTGATGAGAGCTTCATCATTTTCATCTAAAAATGGGATTATCGACAATTATTCTCGAATAAACAGACAAATTATTATAGAACTCTTAAATTACAGTCTCTAAGAGCATATAAAGTTCAATTAATACATTGTTGGGGAAATTGCACCAAAATAGAACCACCTTAGCGTTCGTCCCTATTTTGGGAACCAACTTTCAAATAAATAACTCACTCAGAACTTCTTTTTAAAGGTTTATGTGGTATGATTAGATTGAGTAATCCCTTCTGGAATAAATAAATTTCTCATCTAAGGGCCGCGATGACCGAATTCATGTTCTAAAATATAAACAAAAGCAAAGTTGGTTCCATTTGCGTTTCCCATATAAGAAGTTTTAGGAAACATGGTTCCCCAGAATAGAACAAAGAAAAAGTTGGTTCCATTTCAATGCAATTTGTCTTGCATTAGTTTGAAGAAGTTTGAATTTAGTGGAAGGATAATTTCCTCAACATTTACCTTGTTGCCATTAACCACGACTAAGAACAAAAATAATAGCAATAAGGATAGTAACATGTGCACTTGTGTCTATTTATAAAGATAAAGAAATCATGTATGTAAATGAAGGTATTCAAAAGGTCACTGGGAAGAGAGCTAACTGCATTTGACAAATGTACTACAAGTTTCTTCTGAATTATTTCTACAAGAGATCAACTCAAAAAGAAACTGTTACTTTGCTTAAGAAAATAAACCATAGAAAGCCATCTCGCTAAACATAAAGAAGAAAATAACTCAAAGAATAAATACCCTTCTATTTTTGAACTTTAAGCACTTGAGACATATCAAACTCAGTATGCGCTTCAACTCGCTAATATGCGACGGATGATATATTGGAACCGGCAACTCTATATACCCAAAATGGCCTGAAATGAGAAAAGCAGATATAATTTAAGAAATATCATCATGAAAATTAACTGTTTGACATAAGTTTAACATAACTTATGTTATTTACAACATGGGGAACAGATAAGCCAGGATAGCACATTGCATACCTTCACACTTCCCGGGTTCTGCAGTTCCACATGCTTCACATTTCCCGGCTTCAAGTGGAAGTCCAAGAAAAGGATTTGTAAGCTGACTGGCATGGCTAATGGGACAGTCGCTGATGGAGGACAAGCACTAAAGATTTGAAGTGCATGCATCACACACAAAAAGAGTAGTGTCAGACGAGAACATTACCAAGCTAATCAATTAAGATCATTATACATGAAAATTAAGTGTTCAAAACCTTTTCTAATGAAATAATGTTCTATTGTGTATTTCATAGTGAACAGTGTTAATTCTTAACACTAGTAGATAAATAAGTCATAAGAGTGAAAAAAATACATCTACACCTGAGACAGAAGTGCAACACTAGGATAAAACCAACTGTGCCCAGTATGTCCCACCTGGAGGGGGGTAAGATGTACACGGACCTGACCTCTACACCCAAAGAGTAGATGGGCTGTTTCTGTGAAGTGCAACAGTAGATGATTACCCAAATCATCTTATAGACGGCTGCCTGCCTAGATTTGATCCCTTTATGAAAAACAAGAGGGACAATGATAAAGTGTAGCTAGTTAAATAGATTGTTCTGTATAAAAAGTTCATTGCATTTCAAACATAAGAAAGGGCACTCTAGTCTTTGGATGGAGTTGCAGGTAAGGTTGAACCCTAATTTCTATGCCGGTTACATAGGCGACTGATGAAGCTTGAATGCCATGGTGACTAGTTTTTAACAGGTGTATAAAGAATTTCATGAAAAATTGAATAAAAAGTGAAATAAAAACAAAAAACTAACAATTTCTTGACGGGTCGCCAAAGAAAAACTGATTCCAGTTATCCTCCCTTCCAAAATTGTGGGTGACGGATTTTCTTCCATCTATCAGGACCTGTTTCTTCATAGAAACAAACCAAGCCATGTGTCAGCTAATGATGAAAACAAGAAACAAGCATTACACCGGCATTCAAAGAATATAACACAGAAAACGGATATATGTTTTACTTCCAAACTAGATCAAGTCCAAATTCATATATAAACATTAATCAGCATGCAAATTTTATTACTGCAGTCTATATAGTGTTGCTAATGCTTCTTATTTACATACTCAGCTAGGATACCGAGGCTCCTATGGCTGCCAAGGTTCAGAGAGTCACTGTAACAAAAAAAAATTACAAAGAACACATAAATGTATCCAAGAACAAAAAGATAAATCTAAATCATATCTGTTTGTTAGTAAACAGAATTTTTCACACTTTCAGCAGCTACTTCTACTGTCAAAATAGTGATGTTTACTAACTTCCAACAACAGAAAAAGACTCTTCAAGCACATTAAGCTCAACTTAAAACTGGAAGTATGAACAACAAGCCGCCTAAGAAATAAAAGCAGGTCAAGCAAAATATGCATATGCAAATTAATAGAACCAGACACAGACTGAACAAAGGAGCAGCTGGCAGGTGAAGTTGGCTCCTACAATTTGGTGTTTAAAAAGTTTTACTGTATGAAAGTATAACTAAATAATTTTCACACCCAAAAAAAAAAACATTATAATCTCTGCTTCCATGGATTTTCTGACTCCACGAACAAAGAAACGAGGAAACAACAAGGTGCAATAACTCTCCATTTTAACATTCTGTATACAAAAACTATAAGTAGCATTGTATTACTGAAATCAGTCGCGAAGCAACTAACAACATACCTTAACAAAGCAAGAAAGGGACAATGATTTTTGCAGATTTGTTCAGCATTCACAAATGTTGAAAAATTTTGACCTAGAAAACAAAGCAGAAGATGAAAAAGATCGTTCAAAATAACATTTCCAACAAGCAAGTAGAAGAACAGAAACCATACCCTACATTTCAACTACCAAATAAGCAAAAACACTTAATCAAGACAACAGTAACAGTCAAACACACATTTAGCTAAAAATCAGCAGATTACGGACATGCATTTGTGTACCAAGAAAAAACTGCCAAATAAACGAGCAGTTCAACACAAGAAACAAAACAGAACAGAACCCCAGACCGGAATTTCTTTCCCGAGAAAAATTGTTCTGAAAAAAACCCTAATTTGAGTGAAATGCTACTGCAAAATGTGCATAAGAATCGCTCAAAACCCATAAAAGATTACCGTTTATCGATCGATGGTGAATTTGATGAGAGGGAGAGGGTTTTCAAGGGTCTAGAAGGGAAAGAAGTGTGGAAGTGATGTCTGATTTAGGAGGACTCCCTCTTGGCTGCCAAGGAGGAGCATGCAGCAAGTGGGTTTTCTGATTTTGAAAATTGTTTTTTTCACCACACCCCCTATACTCTCTCTACAGTGCTTTCATCTACTCATGTCCATGGTGTGATAAATTTCTGGATGCAAAATGACTAAATGGCCCCTGCTGGTTTCATATGATAAAATAATATGGGAAATTTGACTATCAAAATTCGGCATCAAGACCAACTATTGAGGGTATTTTTGTAATTTTGTATGACGGACCATTATAAAACCATTTAACGTATTAGGGGTATTTTTGTAATTTCATGTGACGGACTATCGTAAGATTCATTGGATTTGTTCAACCTATTGAGGGTATTTTAGTAATTTGGCATATGACGAATGCTCATAAAACCATCTACATCCATTGGATTTGTTCATATGGACGGCGATAACCAGCGCCCTAGTTTTCAACATTTATTATTATTTAGGTTAGAATCTCCGCGATCCAAGATGCGAATGTGGTTTGCTTGACACTTTAATGCGTATACAACATTTGGGCCTTTGTGGGCCTAAGGGTCCATTTGGTTTGCAGGATTGTTTTTTATTAGAGATTTGGATTGGAATGAATTTTGAAACCATTAGTGTGTTTGGTTTGCAGAATTTGGAATGAAATTGGATTTCATTATTATAAATAATTTATAGAAAAAATTATAAATAATTATAAAAATAATTGAATTACATTTTTATTAATCAATTATTATAAAACAGATGTTTTTAATATTTTTTAAAACGTTATTGCATATTATCATACGAAATCCCGAGCACTCCCTAAGGATTTCAAAATCCTATGTTTCAAGGATTTCAAATTCGGACAATCCAACAAACCAAATATGGGACTGGAATGAATTTGAAATTCAAATCCCCTCAAATCCATTCCATTCATTCAAACCAAACAGGACCTGACGTTTATTTAATTGGGTTTTTTGGCTTATAACTACCATTTACGATATTCAATCTCTTGTGGTTTAAAATTATTGTTGTTTTGGATTATGCAACTTAGAGACTATAACAATTGGAATCCATTGCGATTTACAAATCAGGCAAATATTATCTCAAAAACAAGTAATAGTGGAAAGAATATCAGATATTGTCTGTTGGACAACAGGTAAGGTTTTAACAAGTCAAATATAAAAACTAATTTCAAATGACGAATTTGGTAAATTTGGTTTTTGATTGAGTATCAACTAATGATTTATAACAATAAATAAAGCAACGATGTAAATTTGGCTGGAATTTCAACTCAAAGCGCAGCATAACACGAGGTCTGCTATAGCAATGGTTCTCAAGAGTGCACAGTTGGATTAAAAAGTTCCCTTTTGAAGCTCACTATAAGCACTCAATGTGGCGACACTCTCATCTCTTTATAATGAGCGCAAATCCAAGCATGACACGTAACTTGTTTTTCATTCCATGTAGAGCAAAACAACAGTAAATCGTTACAACATGCTGCTAAAAATCATTATGTTTATGTTGGTTTCTTTACAAGTGCAATTCACTTGTGCAAAAATAACATATTGTCAACTTTTCAATTAACGCTCAAATGAAACAATATAATCTGAAGTGAAAAGTGAGGTTGATTGCTACAACATAAAGCGATATCAACAAACACTTGGTTTTAATCGCTCACTGAAAACTAAAGTGTTTAGTCCATCATCGCTTTAAATACAAAATTAAAGGCATGAAGTTCATTGCAAAGAAATGTAAGTTACTTTGAAAGGAAAATAAGCCATTTACCAAACGCTTACCCGGGTAAGCGCTTACCAAGTAACATTTCCTTACCGGATGAATATGGTAAGGATCAAAAATCTTATCCGGTAAGAGTGAGACAAGGACCAAAAGTCTTACATGGTAAGTGAGGGTGACGACTCTTACCGCGTAAATTGTTGCATACGATATCGTTTTAGTAGACTAAAATCTTACTCAGTAAGTAAATAATAGTGTAAAATTTTACTGGTAAGTATTTGCCGGATAAGTGTTTGGTAAATGGCTCCTAAGAGCAGCTCCAACCTTCACACAAAAAAAAAAAAACCAAATAGGTGGACCCATAAACACCAAAAAAAAAAAAAACTCAACTCCAACCTTTCGCCGTCCATCTCTTCCATAGCAAATTTGACGTTCATTTCCTTCCTCCGGCAAAACTTTGGTGTATTTGGCGTGCGATTGGATCCAAAGATTGGCAAAACCTTAGTTTTGTCGTTTGATTGGAGTTGCTCTAAGACAAAATGTAAATGGCAAGAAAGTAAATGCACAATATATCCAAATGATCTATACTTTCAAATGCTTCCCAAATTCAGTGGAAACCGATTACAAGACTATACCAAGTAAATCAAACCATAATAAAAGTCGACCCATACTTATATCAACTATTTCTAACCTTATAACTTATATATGTCTTTGTACTTGGTTGATTAAATATCGTTCCACTTAATATATTTATGATCCTTGTAAGTGTATAACACCTTACTCTTCCAACGAAAACAATATCGCCAAATGAACGTAATAAAGCTCCAATATATTTTCATTATATCAAATGGACCTTGTTTCATTATAAATTAAAATAATACCTCAAAATACAGGCGTAAACATCAGCTAAACTTTAAATCCTTGAATCTTAATGCTTTTCGAAACGGGATTTAAACTTTTGAATAGATATTCTCCAAAATTGAGTGCGTCTTTCTTCATGAAATCTCTGCTTTCCCTTGTCTACCAGAAGAAAATGTACAATGTGAGTCAGTTTTCCACTATGGATTGAGATTAAAAAACGAGCAAAGGAAAATGTAATAAGGAGCTCAATTTCAAACGAGGTGAAAGATAACTTCAGTATTTCCCCACAAGATATCATCACCCAACTCTAAAGTAATCAATAATATAAAGCTTAAACCATGAGGGGTTAGCTTATACGTACCAAGCTTCCCAAGGAGCTAAGGAGCAAAGCATGGTACACGATATCCAAACAAATTATGGTACAACAGATTTGCAACTCTAGGTCGGTCCAACATCAATTGTCAACCAATATGCCTCCTAAAATGAAATCCACTGTCATACAATCAAAAGGATACGTTTTGGACTAATCACACTGTCGCGGATGTTTGCTCATCATTGGCGTCACAACGACGTCGACATGCATTTAGTATCTCCTCTATATGTGGTTAACTCATTATTCATATGCTTCAAACTAATATAAAAAGAATGGTTACAGGTACATACAAATGAATATAAAAACCAACCACAACTCCTTGCATACTCACCATGTGTTATGATATTATTTCAGATGATAAAAAAACAAAGTTTGTCACATTACAAGTCCATAAATCGAATCGAAGCAAGTCTCTCAATATCAAGTTTTATTAAACAATGAAACGGGTACACGAACATTTCAAGCATTTACAATTGTGTATGTCAAATGAGATAATTGGTTCACAAACGACTGTAAAAAGTATATCACAATATAACCAACGTGACTAAATAGGGTGTCATTGAATGAAATACGAAGATCTGTAAATGGGAGTCTAGGATGACATCAAACAAAATATAAAAGCCACTAAAATACCATATTTCTACTAACGTCGCCAACTAAGCCTAATATCCAAAAATTACTCATATTTAGTTACAACTTATACGATATAATTTATACCCATGTATCTATATAATATTATAAAGCAATTTGCTAAAAAAATTAAAAATAAACCCTTTAAGTATTTATGATCGTTGATTAATGCAGATTCGCTAAAATTCAATGGTACATTTAAGTATATGATCAATACTATATTATAAAACATTTAGGTTTTACCTTTTAAAAACTCTTATTTCTACTCCATTCAGTGTTTCAATAAGTTAGTTTGTGACCATCTAAACAAGACTTTTTAATAAGGTAAAAGAAATAAGCTAGCACATGGTTGCCAAACATGTCTACATTTTATAGCCTTTTTTTTGTTGCTTTTTCTAGTTATGTTTGGTAAATTAACTGATAATATTAAATGACTTAAAATGATGTATAATTAATTTAGTTAGATAAAATCAAATAAATTTAGAAAGAAAAAACAATATATTAAATTAATGTAGTTATCTATACTATACTATAAAACATTTGACAAAAACTCTTAAAAACCATTTTTTAAGTATGAAGTACTGTATATTGATGCATATTACTTAAAATTCAAGATTACAAGTAAATTATACATAAGTACAACTTCTTAAAGCTCCATGTTTGAATTCGTATAACTAACTGCAGATAAACATAATCAAATAGAGGATAAACATCTCATTTGAAAATAAAAAAAAAAT